GAAACACTAGGGATTTTTGTGTTAAGTTAATGATAATGGGTTTTATTTATCTCATGCAAAAATTTAGTCAAGTAAACTCGCGAACAATGTTATACGGAGAAATGACATAAATATTTTGGAAAGCAGGTAATCAAAAACGATTACGTTAGAGATAATGATCTTATATGGTCGGTTTGGTTCTTGTCCGTTATATGGCGACAAATAAAGATTCGATTCTTTTTGTTGGACCAAGAATTTCCATGTATGATTTAGTGATCATTCGAAAGCTTGGAACTCCGGCAGCGCGGCACGCGGCTGGTTTTAGAAAAAACCCATTTGTAACGCTGTGAGATTCAAAATAAAAATATGTTTCACATCGCCAGCGCAATTCAACTATAACTTCGATGAAAGTACCAAAAACACATGAACATGTAGGAAAAATCTCTTAGTATTAGAGACAGACTTTTAACTGTAGTTTTTTTCGAAGCGGAGAAGCAATTCCTAATCAAATAACAAAAATCGCACTTCACATAGGCGCCATCGATCGATGATCACGCCAACCCCTCCTAACCCCCACCCCACAGCCCATGAAATGATCAAAGAACACTTGCTAACATTACCTCCAACATTACACAGAAACGGTCTCCTTAAAAAGTAACCACGACGTTGGAATTCTTGAACCTTACGCTACCAAATGATTACCAATAGAATTCCTTTCATTTAACCGCTCATCACGGTGATGTGATGTTATAGACATACCCAATGATGTAAAGTGATGCGTAAAACTTTCGCGTCACGTGGGACTCGAACCGCATCTTTCTATGCGGGAGCGCGTGCACGCCCAGTATCTGTCAGCATGGCTAGGTTCAATGTTGATACCGAGTACCTCGACCAAAAACTGATAACGATTAACTGCTGACAAGTAGATGCGTTCTAGCGTAGAAAGAGTGGTGGGAGAAACGGACGTCAGTAGTGCAACGGGTCGGAGCACACGCTCCCGTACAGAGTGGGATGCGCATTCGAATCCCACCTAATGTAGAAGTTTTGCTCGTTCCACAATGAAGAATTACCGTCTGTTTTATAACAAAGTGATAAACTCTTCGAAAGCTTGACAGAGAGAAATCAAATAAACTTCGAAAATTGCAAGAAAAAAGGTAGAACATCAATCACAAAATTTTCCTTTACAATCTTGTCATTGACATTACAGTCTATTCAGATTTTATCTAGAGACCAGAAAAGAAATTGCGACAACAATTGGTTTTGGATCATGGGACTAATGATTTTCAAATCTCATCACTAATAATCCTCAAATTTCATTAGTAGAATGTGACTTACGTTAACCGAGGGAGTCTTTCTCAGTGAGGGCCTTCGATTTAGAAGTGGAAGTTCATTAACTACAATCTCATAAAAGCGCTAAGAATATGTAAGAACGGCGACATATTCTAAGTTTACCTAAACGTTATTCCACTTACTCCACAAATTGAAACGATTCTGGAAAAAAAACCTGTTGCATGGCCTCCCTATAAATAAGTAAGGTCAAGAGCGTGCGACAGCAATTACGGTAAGACCATTTTTAGAGTTTGAAGATGAAAAATCTTCTTCACCACCAAAATAATACTGAAATGAAGATTTTGATGAGAGAAGAGATTTTCATGGAAGAATACAATCTTAGAGTCTAAGCGACCATCAATCTGTCTTTGACAAGAAGGCTGCCTGATCGGCCTCAAAATCTTAACTGTAACAAATTAAATTGGAACAGGTAACGAGGCAATAAAAACATGCCTTTAGATGCATCAATTGCGAAGATATGAGGAAATTTGACAATTTGTGAGAACTTTTGAGCTCTGCTTCATGTAAACCACATGAAATTAGACACAGGCAGCTCTACGGAAGCCAGAAAAAAAGTGGTGAAAAAAAGATGTAATGATAAATGAAACAATATGATCGCAAAGTTTCGTAGGATTCAGTTCACGGTTACTATAAAAATCTATAGTAGATGCGACCAGGATAGCTGTTGAAATGAATACGGCAGCGTATTGATGAGTGAAACAATTACATAAATTGAAAATCATTGGCCATTTTTTGCATGATTTTTCTTCCACAATTTATGGATTTTATTGCGAATCTATATTTGTAAGAGTCCGATCCGTCACACTCTATAACCTAACAGAATTACTATCTTACCCTACTACAAAGAAGCTTGGAAAAAGTGAATTATCTCAGAAACTAAGATTATTTGAAATCCAGTCACCAAATGCTTTCGATCTTCTGTAATCAAAACCCCGGCATCTGAGCAGATTTTGCCTACGAAATTTAGCATTCTTTATCATATGAAAGTGAAATTTCAATATCTATCCATCAAACGTCTGTCAAGTTCTCAATTCTCAACTACACTTCAAAAAAGCTAACCTCAGTGCTTGTACTCTTAGAATTGACCCTAACCACATTTGCAGCAAAAAGAAGGCCAACACGAATCGTTTAGCCAGATGTTTCAAAAAAAAAAACAGCGCTTTTTACTGCTTGTACATCTGTCGTCCTGATAGTCGATAGTCGACAACGACCTTGAAGCGCTCGCTGTCACCCCCACCAGAAACAATGAATGAGAAGAAAACGATTTGTTGCGGAACGGGTCGTTGTAAAGTCTCGTCACGCTTTCGATTTTAGCTTTTTTTCTACATTTATAAGAACAGCGTGTCAGATAAAAGTTTAAAGAGGTCAATAGCAATAAAAACTAATAATGAGTATAATACTAAGTTTTGCAAAATAACATAATCGAATTTTTAAAACCATTTGTGCAACAGCTATGAGCATCAACTAAAAATCGGTTTTTCTTTTAAGCGCTGCATTGATCGAAATGTTATCGTAGTCTTGAGAAGCTACTAGATCGTTAACGTTACTCTTAGCTTCGCTTTTGTTACTTTTGTCCAAGAATAGGTAAGTTTGTAGTATAGATCATTTTTCACAAAACTTCTAGGTTCAATTAACGTAGAGTATTCTCATGTTGACCAATCTACATCCCTTGAATCGTTGAACGACTCAAAGCTCGTCGTAAATTTTTTGCTCAAGCAGAATAATGTGAGCCTTGTAGAAAAGAATGCTTTTCAACAGTTACCAATGAACATTTGTCTTAAGATATATTACTGATAACCGACAGAACAATTATATGAGACAAGTCTATACAACACATCTTCAAGCTTAATTAATGACTAACGAATTAGAAATTATCAAAACATTAAATTTTGTGAAAGAGCATATCCGTCAAACATAACGTTATCTTCGATTCTGGTTGTGAGAATAAGGAACATACTCTGATTTTGAAATGCTTCCGATGGGACGACTGAATGCGGATAATCTGTAGGCGAATTCTTCTTGAAGAGCTCAGCAATACTTTTATTCGTTTCGAAGATATTGATGACCGTAAGTAGATAGAAAAACGTCACAATGAAACATCCATACAGTATCCACATCGACATATGCAGACAAAGCGTCCTACACACACCAATGTTCTCGCAAGACGACGATCCAACTGTCTAAAAAGAAATCGTGTAATATGATCTGCATTCAAGTATTCCTCATAGTCAGAGCTCTTTTCTTCGGTGAAACCGCAAAAAATCAAGGATAAGGACAGGATGTGAAAAAATTGATTAGAGAGTATTAGCAGAAATTCATGAGAAGAATGAAGCTGAAATCAAAAATCAACTACTCAAAATGGTAAAAGACTTTGAAGAAAACGATGGAAAAAACAATAAAGGTAAATGTTTAGAAATTCGAGCAGAACTATTGTATACTAAGTCAGTGGATTTTTTCAATGATTAGAGCTTGCCTGATAATCATTATTTGAGCCACGCATGTCAGTGGTCTGAGTGGTCAATGAGGGGTGACTTATAGAGCCCGAAACATGTGTTTCGATCTCGCGATCTCGTCAGTTGGGCAGTTGCCCTTTCTCGTCTTTTGCTAATCTCTGTGGGTGGAAGATATGTTATATTAAATATACTAGCCACGAGCATTCGAGTGTACAACACTCTGTGTTTGGTGAGTTCTTCACTGGACATAGAGTGTAAAACGTACGTCGTCGCTAACTCTTATTATGGGGACTGGAGCACTCCCAGAGATTAGCAAAAGACGAGAAAGGGCAACTGCCCGACTGACGAGATCGCAAGATCGAAACATGTGTTTCGGGCTCTATAAGTCAGCCCTCATTGACAGACCACTGACATGCGTGGCTCAAATAATGATTATCAGGCATATTGAAATTTGAGCTGTGGTCTTAAGAAAACACTCGAAATGAAAGATTAGAGCTTGCATCCACAAATTGCTAGGCAGCAAGAGTCGGCTAAACTATAAAACCTTCATGACAAGTCAATTTTATGGGGTGGTGGAAAGCGTAATGGTGATGGATTCTGCGCCATGCACATATGGTAGATGTTTCGACTTCGCACTAAACCAACCAAGCCCACTACCTCATCATCGTGGGTAAATTAAAAACAAACGTCTCTGGGAGAAGTTCGTTCAGATGCAAATTATAAGGCTTTCGTGGATGACAGATTAATGAGAATAGAAAAAACTATACGAATAAATAAACTCATGTAAAGTGGTATCGTAGGAAGAGATTTTTAGAAAGTTTTGTCATTCAGCAAATTTTACTTTGAAAGCGCTTTACAACGACTTCACCATTGAAAAGAATAGCTCAATTTACGCTATTCTGATTGCCGGAATATTGAAGACACCTTAATATTTGTGACAGATAGCAAACTCCATAGTTGATGCACACTTAGCTAAAGCACATGTGATAAAATTTACAAAAGAAGATTATTTCATACAGGAAATTACCAATATTTCGCTGCATTTCTCGCAGTGTTATAATTACTCATTTATTTTCAAGAGAAATGAGGGGTGAGCCCAAAACATGGCCTCAGGCGGGATTCGAATAGAGCGAAATAGCATACCCGACCGAACTTGTTAAGGGTTGGTGGCTGATAGGTAACATAAAGATGCTGAAGAATGGGTGGTGAGGCAAATGTGTCTCGGTGGTGTAGTGGTAGAGCATGCGTCCCCGGATAGGATGAAAAGCGAGTTTGTTTCTCGCCTGAGGCCATTTTTTGCTCACCACTCATTTATCTTGGGAATATATGAGTGTAGTCACAACATTGCAAAAAATGCAGTAGAATACTAGAAATTTCGAATATTAGTTATCACAATGACTATCAGCTCCACTAGGTTTATAAAGCGAAATCATACCCGACCAAACCTGTCAAGGGTTAGTGGCTGATAGCTAACATTGAGATGTTGAAGAATGAGTGGTGTGGCAAATGTACCTTGGTGGTGTAGTGGTAGAGCACGCGTCCCCGGATAGGATGAAACGCAGGATCGCTTTCCTACTGAGGCTATGTTTTTGTTCACCACTCAATACTCTTAGAATTATTTTATACAGGGTTCTTGAGAATCGAGAATAGGGTTTATTAAAACGATATGAGATAAGAGAACGAAATAAGATCACTGAGATAAAAACCGCAAAATACATCACGCTGGTGTTACGAAAACCAGACATCAGTGTTGTCACTGAAACAGTCTGACGAAATTTGCGAGAAGACCTGTGATAATTTTATCAGCAGTTCAGTACCATTCTTCACTGAAAATTTCGTTGCAAATAATTTTGACGTCAATCCAGTCTCATATAGGAAGAAAACACCCAAACCAGTAAGTGTTGTAAAATCGTGAGAAAGCGCACAGAGAATTCATGTTGATAGCTTTGATGCTGTAAGAACAGCGGTGTGTTCCGTCGGTAACGGTAATAGGTAGAATACCAATCAATACGCAAAGAATGAAAATGCAGCTCTTAATGAGATAGGTATGAAAGATCCAAAAATGAATTGAAAAGACGATTGCTTTATTTTCATAGATGACTTCTGTCTTTTCTGCGATTGTTTTTTTCCCTGCAGTTGTCGTAAGTTTCACTGGCCATTCACATGAAGAACGCGGGTGTCGCGCACTTCAAAAAAGGAAACGACAGATGGCTCGAAGATCGGAATGCATCTCTACATTAGGAAACTATGAGGAGGTCACTGATTTGTAGTAGTAGAGTTACATAAATTGCGCCCAGGTTTTGAAAAAGCCGTAACGTCGAAACGGCAACCATTCAATTTCAAGAACGCGTCATTAATAACTGTGTCGCAGCCCCGTAGGACAGCTGGTATGATCAAACAATAACAATTTCTCAACATCAAATTTTATTAGCTTGAAATTAAAGATCAAATTTTTAAATATTTCATGAACTGGCAGCTTAACATTATACAATATCTATGTACGTGGTGAATGTCGATGAGTTTTCGATTACTCCAGATCTTAGAAAGACCACATTGATCTCGATAATTGATTCACTTGTGCCAAAAGATGCTACGTTACGTAACAAAAACTGGTAAAAGATCGTTACCTTTGAAATGTTTTCCAGTAAATAGAACTTAAGAACACGTATCTTTCTTCTTTGAGTCATATTTGACTAAACCGTGTGTACGTTTGATCCCTTTGGGACGGCGTTCATCATTTTGGAAACGCGATTACTCGAAAGCTTCTTTGCTGGACAGAGCTTTGCCTTAGACTAGTGACCACTAATAGCGCGATCTGAATACTGTACTTTTCCTTTGATAGGTCCTCCTATATCCTTCTTAGTGTGGGGTAGCAGCGGAGATAAAATTAAGTTTCACACTCGATTTCTTTACTCAGCTAGAGTTTGTGGGCAGGCTTCCGCTCGACCTTCAACGATCATTCGATAGCTAAAATATTGGCGATACTGAAGCTAAATTTGTTTTTTGAAAACGTTTTCGTAAAGTGCTCTTAGTAGAAAAAAGATTACGTTTCCCACTCGCAGCAGTTAGCTCGTCGCATGCTTTACGGCAAAATATTAAGTAATATAAAATAAAAATAAAAAGATGAAAAGTTCTTTTTTGAATGGACAAAAAACATCTAATTGGGTATAGAAAACAGCGCGCCGCTTTGCGATTCGCACTGCGCGCAACGATTTCTCTTGCCATTCCGAACGGATCCCTATGAGTACCATATTGATTTCTCGCCCGACACGATGCGCGGTTGACCGGCTGGCGAGTGCTCTTAAATGACAGCACTGTAGTTTCCTAATAAAACCTAATTTTTGTCGTCACCTGAAAAGGTCTTGTAACCAGCAAGGAATAACTTATGACTGAAGAGACTTGATTAGGCTACTGGTTGTAGAAATGACGCTAATGCTTCCTAATAAAAAAATAAAACAATAAGTTAAATGTCAAAAATGATCTTAAGCACAGCGTAGAAATTTATGTGCAGCAATGAGACAATGTTTGTGTAGATTGTTGTGAGAAATTGCTATAGATTATAGATAAATTATTGAAGATACTGCTACTGAATAAGGGACTCTTTGTGAAATTTTGTAACTGCTAATCGTAGATGTGATACAAATAATCAGATATGTATAGTGGGATATAGATATTAAGGTTATTACATAAGTAGCAGATTTGTGTCCGATACGCACCAATTTCAGTAAGCCTAAGTAATCCGAGAGGCGAACCGTCAATCGGTGTGTCAAACATGGTATAAGAGAAGCTCGATAAACATAGAAATCTCTAAAAACAAATGTTTGCTTGTGTATCACTGTGAGTTATTTGTAGGCCGCTATGGAACACCATCTATTTGTGATAGCTTTACTACAACTATAACATAGTGTAGGATAAAATGAACTGAACAGTTTGATTAAGGTAGTTGAGAATGGTTGCACTGCCTTAATTATTGTCTGTGGTGATATTGACCGCGCTTATATGGAGAACCAAGAACAAGAAATTTTTTTGGTACAGCGCTATTTCGCTCCAGCCGTTCTGATTCATAAGAAATCAAATAAGACACGTAAAAGCTTTCAAATGGTAGAATCTCTCAGATGGAATGTCAAAAACATAAAATGTCATTAGCTGCATGTTTGGTCGAAAGTCAGTCAGATCAGGAATCTGTCGTCAACGAATCCGAGAAACCCTTTGAGCGGAAAGCATACCATCAACATAGAGATGTTTTAAGCTGTATGCTTCAATCGGCGCCGCAGCTAATGTAATGTCATGTCCGTTACTGTTTGAAAAGGTTATACTACTTTCTGCACGGTTATGGAAAATAAGCATCCTTATTGTCATATACGCTCAATTTACATCAGAATAGATTCCCAGAAATCAAGTTAATAGGTGATAATGCATAGTGTGTGAGAACACACCGATGACCTTTCCTATATTAGGAGTCAACCTGCTCCGAGGAAGGCGAAATCGCAAAAACGTCAGCTAATATACCAAAGGAAGGAAGACACTAACATCGAACTAGTTCAAAAAAGAATCGTGCACAAGATATCATTGACTTGAGAGGAATAAACTTGATAAATGACAAGAATTACTTTGTTCAAGGCCCTTGTACGAACTTCTAAAATGGCTTGTCACTCTTATGGATGTTTCTGAGGTTTCTAAATTGAATACCTAGAATTGTTCCTTTGAGCCTGAACCAATGCAAATCCAAAGAAGCTTTCGGCCTTGATTAGAAAACTATACCATAGCTGCCCGCTTCAGTCAACGAGATTAACGTTATGCAGTTCGGTCTCAAATTCGTATTACGAACATATCATATCATCGTCAAATCAAAATTTCTTAATGTCAGTCTAGTCCTATAGATGGCTTACACCTTAATCATAGTTGAAAGGCGTCCCTGGATATCGATCTGTGTTATACAGAAGGAGAACGGCTCCACAGCAAGATCTACCAAACTTAGAATGGTTAAACGTTTTCATCCAGTCCAGTTAGGGATATATCTATGCTACTGACATTTCGTTAAACTCCTCGAGGCCATTTCCTCATCAAAATCACTCAAAGATGGGGTGTGTCATATTGAAATATAAGGTTCTTCATTTTTCTGTGATGTTGTGGCTAGAAGAAACAAATGGAGTTCACTGATAGTAGTTCGAGCTTCCTGATGATTAGCGGAAAAAAAATCAAATCCAAATATTAATCGGGCATGTTGAAATTACAAGCACACTTGTATGTTAGTGTGACATCCAGAGTATCCAACGTAAGTATATTAATCAGAAGTTTGATAACAAATGTAATGAAATTAAATGCGATGCGTCATTGTTTACAGATTCCAAAAACGCTGTAAGCTATGTCGGCAATGTTTTCATTCATTTTCATAACAGTCGACAGACAGCTTCAATTTTGACACCTGAAGTCATTTAATTCGATCTTTAAGGTGCTACTTTCGAATAGAAGAAGAAGACAAGGAGTATAAGAAAGAAAGAGAAGAGAGAGAGAGGGAGGAGAAAGAGAAAAATGAGAAGAAGATGGGAAAAAGAAGGAAACTAAGGGTATAATCTGATAAAGATATGACATATTTTGAGCCATAGGTCTAGTGCTATGTAGGCGCCTATTTCGTCCTATTGGGACTCATCAGTAGCACCCTCCCTCGGTTCCGTCTATCCTTTGAGGTAAACAATCCTCCAAAGGAACCGACGCCGAGTAAAATTAAGCACCCAAAGTAGGATGATGTTATTACCTGACTTTGTGGTGACCGGCAGTCGAGCTTACGGCTTCTAAAATGAACTATACTTCTGCTATCGACTGCTTTTTTACAGACCCGCTCAAAATGATTTAATTCTGATAAAGATATGACATATTTTGAGCCATAGGTCTAGTGCTATATAGGCGCCTATTTCGATATATGTAAGATATAAGATATAAGATAAGATATGATATAAGATGATATAAGATATGTCATATCTTTATCAGATTAAATCATTTTGAGCGGGTCTGTAAAAAAGTAGTCGATAGCAGAAGTATAGTTCATTTTAGAAGCCGTAAGCTCGACTGCCGGTCACCATAAAGTCAGGTAATAACATCATCCTACTTTGGGTGCTTAATTTTACTCGGCGTCGGTTCCTTTGGAGGATTGTTTACCTCAAGGGATCGACGGAACCGAGGGAGGGTGCTACTGATGAGTCCCAATAGGACGAAATAGGCGCCTATATAGCACTAGACCTATGGCTCAAAAATATGCCATATCTTTATCAGATTAAATCATTTTGAGCGGGT